ATTATGTACAAAGTGAGTAGAATTTCTTATAGTGACTTTAATTTTTATGGTTATATGACAATTGGCATTTGACATAAGAATCCTACGTCCATTAAAAATGAACAATGAAAGCCGATTGAAGCATGATGACGTATAGGCAGTGAAAGTATACCGACGAAGTTTGCAAAGTTAAGATACGTATGCATCAGAAAGTTAAAATGTAATATATTATATATAAATTGTATACAATAAGTAAAATATAAGTTTATTTTATGTATTTATTGCATGTATTTTATGTATTATTTTATATGAAATATATATTTTCTGCAGATTTATAATTTTAATATTAATAGAATATTTTATCTTTTTATAATTTATCCTAAAAAAATCCCAAGCAGACTTCCAAGTAACGTTCTAAAAACATCACTATGTCTTAAAAACATTCTGAAAAAATTCTAAAGATGTCCATTGCAAATTGGTGTTGTCTTGAGTATATTATAATATTTGTTTTATTTACAAATTCACGTTAAATCTTTCATTTTTCACGAGTTTAGTGAAGTTTTCATCTTTCATGAGTTCATTACAAAATTTTCACTTTTCACGAGATTACACTAGGGGTGCGTTCAGATTCCTCATCCGGGTGCACTCTATTACTAGAAACACTATAGTATTTGTTACATATACTATAGCACTTTTAGTAATAGAATACACTCGGGTGGGGAATTTGAATGCAGCCTAGAGGAAAAAATTCATGATCGCTATTCAGAGGTAAACCTTAAGCTATAAGAAATTGACTAATCACAATCGATCATTTTATTCCCCGATTCATATTTCACCGTGATTGGTCAATTTTTTACAGCTTAAATCCTGATCTACAAATGATTTAAGTCTTATGGCATATATATTATATATAATCGCAGCCAGCACGATTTGCAACACGACACGCGATATGCAATGCGCGATATCCAATGAGCGTACAACTTTTCCGAGATAACAGTACGCTCATTGAATTAGTACTGCGAGTTCGGATAACTTTTGGTGTGTTCGCTTTGGGAGCTTACAGGCTTAAACGTCATTCTATCTTTATCGCTCATTACCTGCGGGAAAAAGATAGAATGACGCTTACAGCGCAAAGCCCCCAAAGCGAACGCACCAAAAGTTAAGCGGGAAGCACACACTCTTCCATAAAGGCATAATACACAACGCATAAGAAAATTGACCAATTAAAGTCCTTCGTTTTCATCGTGGCAATAGAAATGAAGACTCTGATTGGTTCATTTCCTTATGTATTATGTCTTTATGCAAGAGTTGTGCTTCCCGCTTTAAGGCTATCGCACACAAATTGACATAACTGCATATGCATAGCATAAGACCGTATATACCAATGAGCATCGAGTATTAAGTCGCCATATTGGTGTTCGATGCTTAATATTCGATGCTCATTGGTCCATACGATCTTATGCTATGCATATGTAGTTATGTCAATTTGTGTGCGATAGCCCTTACTCGACTCGCAGCACTGCATTGGATCGCTCGTCGCTTATGCAGGATTCGCACCGCGTCCGATGTCAGACGTATGACGTCCGATATCCAATAGGAGAACAATTTTCTAATATAAAATTCAATTCTCCATTAGAATCCATTATTCTTTTATTGGATATTGGACGTCATACGTCGACATCGGACGCGGTGTGGATCCTGCATTATCGTGTCTCGTCGCGCATCGCGCTGGCTGCGAGAGCCATTAGCCTTAAAAACTGACCAATCACAGACGATTATTCTCCTAATATTTGATTGTGATTGATCAATTTTAAGGTGTCCAACAACCAATCAACACATTCGACGATATTCGTACCAAGCGAAATATTAGCTTACGGCAAACAAGCGGTTAAGAAGTTTGGAGGTTAAGTACCTCCGTGGTAGACGAAACGTCGTGCCACTACTAATGCGCGAAATAGCGTGCAATTACGTGCGGGCGGAAATTTCGGTCGTGGCAGGTGGCCAGTCACCTTGACCACATTGCGCCCACGCGAGCCATCGAACAGACAGAAATTATGGCGAAATATCTAATACAAATTATCGTGGCCGGCACACAGGTCATCGGCAAGGCATTCGCACGTGCGCTACGCCAGGAAATCGCAGCGAGTCAGGAAGCGGCACGAAGAGCCGGCGGTGGCTCGAGGGGCGCCAAGCATGTCGCCGCCAACACCAGGACCGGCATCTCATTGGAGGAGGCGCTTCGTATTCTTAATGTGGAGCGTTCTGATCAGACAGAATTGATTCAACAGAACTACAAGTACCTCATGGAAGCTAATGATAGGTCAAAAGGTGGTTCGTTCTACTTGCAATCGAAAGTCGTGCGTGCCAAGGAGCGTATTGACATGGAGCTGAAAAACCAAGGAATATCACCACCAACAACATCGTCGTCATCGACATCGACGACGAACGGTCAAGAACCTTCAAAGCAGTTATGAAACTCGCCTTCTAGTTTATATTTACTTAATTTCACTTTAGAAATCTGTACATAATATCGTATAGTATAATTAATAAAGAATAATGAACGTTCTGATATAAATCAGAAGTTTGTTAACATGGTTGCTGTATTTTCTCTCATTTAATGTGCAAATTCATAAGTGTTTAACATAGTCTTGAACATATAAAATTGATTATCAGATTTAGGATAAATCTTATCAGATTTAGATTAGGATTTAGGACGTTTTACAGGATTTTATAAAAAAATTTAATGTTTATAGGGTAATTAAGGTTATATTTCAGTTATTGAAACGCTCTACTGTTGTTACTAATTTTGTGATCAGAGTTACCATTCTAAAACTATAACAAGGTAGGGAAAGAAATTTTGAAAGTGTAGATGGTTTTAGAAAAAAAAACATGTTGAGAAACACAACATATCAAAATGTAATATAAGTTTAAAATTGTTGATAACAAGTGATATAACAAGCTTTGTAACAAGTTTTATCCTGAATTAAGAAATGATTTATAAACATAGAACTATTGCATCATATCACTTGAGTATACAAGAACATATAAAAATGTAATATAAGTTGCTTAAAATTGTTGATAACAAGTGATATATAATAAGCTTTATAACAAGTTTTATCCTGAATTAAAAAATATAATTTATAAACATAGAACTATTGCATCATATCGCTTGAGTATACAAGGATAGCGAAGAATGGGCAAAGAAGAGAAAAATATGTAAAAAGATAATTCATAGATATATATATTCAAGCATATATCGAGTAATATAACAGTCTTCTTTGAAGTTCTCGCTCTTATACGAGTCCTTACAGGTACAATTTTTAAATTACACCGCTATTAGTCCAGCAATTTTCGCATCCTGTGGTTCGATTCGATTTTGCGCTTGGCGCATGATCAACCGCTCCTGATTGTGACGTACAGACCATAAGTTCGGTAAATATTTCGGATTCATAGTGGTAAGAAAATGTTCTCTCCACATACGCTCCAATTCAACTAGCCCACCTTCCTGCTTTTGGAAATATTGCACCACCTACGAGACAAGTCAAACGAATAGTAAACAAAATTTCACAGTTATTCAATTTTTTCAACTTCTGGGTAAGTCAGTTAACAATTGAGAGCCGATTGCTCTTGGTAAGTTAACTGATAGTTAAATCATATGTTGTCTTTGTTTAAGTTGAAGCAAAAACAGACATATATAATTTGTTTAAGTTGAAGCAAGAACAAAGACATATAATTTAATTATCAGTTAACTTGTTAAGAAGTTGGAACAACCAACTCTAAGTCGTGTATATGTCTTTGTTTGATTTGAACGAAAAGCAAAGACATGATTTAACTGCAAGTTAGTTTACGAAGAAATTGGAAAAATCTACCTTCATGTGCAGCTTTTACATAAAGCAAGCAGTTTTAAAAATATCAATTAAGTTTTTTCTCAATTTAATAATTGATTTAAATAAATATATATTTGAATTTGGCTAATTGAAAATTGTTTCAAGCAAAATCAATGTTTCATCGACGATTGACTTCAACGAATTCAATTAAAGATCGCTCAATCGACGACTGATATGAGCGAAGATAATCAAAGATCGTTCAATTAATAATTGAACGATTAAATCAATTGAATTCATTTCCAATTGAATTGGTTCATATTAATTGTCAGTTAAACATAATAATTAAAAAGCAATAAATTAACTTTAAAAGTGAATACCTTTAAGCCGTGCGGTAGGTACTTAAACTGGTTAGAAATCATTTGTTGAATCGGCACGTTATTCAATCTTTCGTGCAGGGTATCGAGCATAACTGGAGTGACCTCCTTCTGCCCCGTATACTCCAATATGTAAAACTCAAGTTCCTCGCGTCGTCGCTGAGGTACCGATAACCCTTGTTTCAATACCTTAACGGCTGACTGAAGCTTTCGAAAGTTACTCATATATTTATCTCGCATATGTGACAACGGTCCGATCAAAGGTGCATCGCACAATTCTGCCAGCTTTCTTCTGAGATGTAGGTCGTTATTATTGCTGTTCTCGTGGCAGGACGGACATAGCAACAACACATCGTGGGATTGATGCGCCTTCATCACCACTGGAAGAGAAATCCGACGATTTTAACTTTTATACATTACATCAATACTGGTTCTCCTGACATACCGTATTTATAGACACTCTCGTATCGCTTATATAATCGTGTATTATTATTGCCAACACACGTGTAATTATAAAGAATCGAATGGATAGACGAAGGTGAAGGTGCTTACGTGGGAAATATTTGCGATATTCTCGCGGTACAACGTTCTTCCTGATAAACTTTTCGGTGCATCCGCAGACTACACATTGATTGACTTTCACTTGAGTATAATACTGTCCGACTTCGCCTAATGCACGACCAGATGGTTCAAAGTTCAGTTTCACCGTGTAGGGATCTGTATGAACGAGTTCTCCCAATCCTTTCCCGATGTACCATTCTGCCTTTTTGCGGTCGCATGTACACAGTATCTCCCCATCAGGTGCTTGTAGATAACAATTATGATACAACGGCTTATTCCTTGTAGGTATTGTATTTTTACGTTCGGCACTAGAACTTCTATCTAATATTTTAGTAGAATTTGAGGTATTGACATTAGTACTACTTGATCTTCGAGCCTTGAACCTTAAACAAATACACATCTATGTATTTCTCGTGCGCGCGCACGTGTGTGTGTGTGTATATATATCTCTCTTTCTCTGCTAAGATATATCTAGCACTAAGTGCCTCATTCCTTTTTCTTTCTCTCTCTCTCTCTCTCTCTCTCTCTCTCTCTCTCTCTCTCTCTCTCTTGTATACATCTTTTTTAATTAATAATTCTCTCTCTCTTGTATACATCTTTTTTAATTAATAATTCAAAATCTTACGTGATTATTTACTAAATTTACTAATCTACATGTGCACAAAGCACAGGATACTTAGTGTCAGATATAAATCTTTATAAATCATATGCTATGTAAAATTTAAAAGTGTAGCAACTGCCACGAAAATATTCGTACCTCGTATCGACTATTCCAGCAGGTACGCCATGAATTCGTGTGTTTACATTACTGTTGAACTTGTTACATAAATAAATTTTGAATCTCTGCCATAACGTAAGCCTTTGTTTAGTTTTTTGCATTATCTGCATTATCTGTAGAGAAAGATCGGCGATTGTTACATACAATAATGAAACCATGCGTTGTATATACGATGCAGACAAAGGAAAAAAAAATATTTCGAGTCGATTGCTTTACCTTTTGGTAAATGAGAATGGATATGATCGCGTCACAAGCGGCATACTTCACTTGTTCGTCGGTCAGGGTGCTAGCCTCCCAGTCGCCACACCTCAGTTCTATTATTTTGTCCATTTCAAGACTAAGATATTCTAAACTCATTGCCGCTAAGCTCTTCAAACTCGGTAATTGGATAGCTTCAGCCAAACCTCTTATATCGAGGGTCCCGCTAACTTGGCACCCATGATCCTTCAATATCTTCTGCCCATCCTCAAACGAAGCAACTCCTACTTTGAGGATATGCTTGTTAGATAGCAGTTCCTGAACAACATAAAGAAATGCATCAATCAGTAAGATTGATGTTATTACTGTTATGCTTGAACAACAATTGTATTCATTTTGAAGACTTTAAGTGCTACCTTCAGTTTATCAGGAATATATCCGATCTTTCCAATGCGAAATAAAGCACATACTCCATTGAAAGTGGCTAATTGTAACAGACAAACAGGTCCTTCATTGACCCATTCACAATCGAAACCTAGTACACCTTCAGACAGATTACTAGAAAGAAAAAAGCAGAATGCAGAATTTTCTAGATCATACATAAAACATTTCTTTATAAGATGATCATTGTAGATTAAGTTCTATGAAATATGATAAGTTCATACTTATTAATAAGTAGTACTTCTAATTAACCAATATTATTTAGTAAATGACGAATTACTTTGCTCCCAATATCGACACAGGAGAAACAATGTTCTTACATAACAATTTTATAAATATTAAGTGATTATTAAGTGATTAAATTGCTACACAAAGAAACTTTTTAGAGAGATACATATATTTTATAAAAATTATTTTTAGAGACAAGCAATAATGAAAAAAAGCTGAAAAAAAATAGAAAAATCCAATCTATTAAATCATTGATTTAATATTAATAAAATTTGTCTCTTGCAATGCAAGGAAAAATAATTTCTTAGATTACAAGACAAACAATAAATCTTGAGAAATTCTTTTGTGTGATAAGAATCTCAACTCTGCTAGAAACATAAGTAGCTACAAGATTCAGAAATTCTCCAAGGATTCAAGGATTCCAAAAGGACACATTCTACACATGATGTTTACTCTATAGAAGAAGAATCGTTGAGGTATTCAATAGACCGCTTAGAAGAAATGTAAACAATAATGTTTCCAATAATAGACGTATTATTCGTCATATTACGGAAAGTTACAGAAGCATGCAAGGTAACACAACTCCGTCCTAACAATCAATCAGAAATAATATTACGAAGCATTTATTCCTTGGTACTAAACTTATACTCGAATAATTTCTTTATCCACTCACCAGCGAATACGTTGGACGGCGTAGTCGCATTTCTCTAGAGAGTCCGCCAATATAATCTTGTCTAATGTAATTTGAAGTCTTTTTTCTTCGTCGTTATTGTTGATATTAGTATAAATACCGTTATCATTCTTACAATTTTCATCGTTGTTAATATCTTTACAATTGTTGTTGTTATCGTTGTTGTTGTTATCGTTTGTAGCAGTTACGGTATCATCGATGTTCTTATTATTTCGACGATTATCCCGACTCGCGATATTTTTGCACAAGTGCTTGACGCTGCGGAGCACATTGTTGCGATATTTCGACGCCAAGAAAACGAGTCCCACGGTCACGCACACGAGGAACATGTTGTTACGTGCCGGAAGCATTAATTAAAGAAAGACCGGCGTTCAAGAGCACGCGGAATTCAATTAAAACCGGTATATTATATACAATTCCTTCGTATCCAATATATGGACGTATGAGTAATTAAACTCTTATGTTACAATTTTATAAATATTAAGCAATTATCATAGGCAATTAAGCTAACTGCGCTAAGTAAACGGGAGATTAACGTTTAAATACAGAAACGAAAATTTTTAAGACATCAATTAATCACGATTTAGTAAATACTTTATACAGACATTTGTTTAAATAAAATTACTATGAATCATCGACCAGACAAGTCGTTCTACATGATAAACCTGCACGACGGACGTTTGGAGTAACAATCGCCGCTGCGCGAAGCTTCGTATAAAAGAATCATCTCGGTGAATAGATCCGCTTCATCGGAGTACAAACGAGGTTCAAGGCACCCCGTAGCTTATGAAGATGGCTGACGTACGCGGCTACGGGTATCACGCACGACTATACGAATAAAGACTGCGTTTTAGAGAATATCGTTTATCTGCGCAGAAATGGTAGGGATTAAGAGCCTCTTTCAAACGAAATTTCGTAGCCGTGCGAAGCGACTTGTCTGTAAATGGACCAATGGCACGTTTAACTCGAAGGCAGGAATGTTCAATATGATACATCACCAATGCAATATAGTTGTGTGCGTTAAAGTTCGTTTTCGTATTTCTACTTAGAATAAAAATATTTTATTAAACATATATTTAACTATATATGTACACTCTCCCTCATTCAAGAAAATTATATTACATCATTTTTCTTGGCAACAAATAGGCGTAATTCAAAGGATAGTAATGCTGCAGAAATAACACAAACTTTTAAGAATGATTTAAAAAATATATTTTATAAATTGAAATTCAGATATATTTGCTGATATAAAGTTTATTTGCTTCTCATAATATAGCTACAGAAGTATGAACCAAGACTGAACGCCAATTCACGATCATTTAGCGTTTATATATTAGGAACACATAAGAAGCTAAGAAGTGGCATGGTCGCTACAGACAAATTTTAGACCAAAGGTTAGACCCGTTATTTTTATTAGTTTCAAAGTCTCCGCTATGAGTCTCCACTGTTTTTAACGTAAAGTCGAACTCATAGTACTCAACGACATATTAAACATACTCTTTGTTCGCAGGAAAATGTGTTCGGCTAATTTCATAGTCCAAAATAATTAATTAAAATAATTCTGTGGACTTACAAATCTGTTTAAACGCAATTCAATTCTCTTCAAGCAAAATACAAACAATTCAATCTAAAATTTTGTTAAAATATTTAGCCCGGTTTATAATGGCCGTAATCCGTTAACTTATTCCGGAATCGTAAAAAATTGACTAATCACAATCGATTATTCTTCTATAATTCGACTATTACACTTAGGTGTAAAAGCGTCAAAACTGCAAGCAATGTAAACAAACATAAGCTTAAGGCCAAATCACACTAACGATTGGCGATAGATGATTGACGATTGAAGATTGGAACTTAATCAATTGGTACAAAGCAAGCCAAGGCTGAAGCTTGTTGATTCGTTAAAATCTAATCTTTAATTGTCAATCGTCAATCGCCAATCGCTAATGTGATTTGGCCTTTACTCCGCGTATTGCAGATGAATCTAAAAGCTGGTTTATGATGGCCGTAATCCATTAACTTCTTAATTGCCCAATTTCTTCACCTTCGGTTAACTTTATCTGACAGTTATTCTATTGGAATTGACCAATCATATTTGTGGTTGGCAAGAATTAACTAATCACGGTTGATATTTAACCGACAGATAAAGTTAACTGGAGGTGAAAAAATTGGGCATTAGAATATATATATACATGGAGGGGGAATGTTGGCACGAAAATATGTCCAAAATGTGTGCGAGAGAGAAAACTATACGTTCCTATTCGTCCTCTATGCGTTGAAGTTGATAAGTTAGGTTAGGTTATAGAGTTGACAGGAAATAAAAGTTATTTATTTTCTTCTTATAGAACTCTGAGAATTTTTTCAGAATTTTGTATTAACTTTCTAGTACTTCAAGAAAATGCAAGAAAACGCAAGAAAATGCAGTACTAAAAAGTTAATACAAAATTCTGAAAAAATTCTTCGAGCTCTATGAGAAAAAAATAAACAATTTTTATCTCTTGCTATTTTGCGGTAAAGTTGATAGCATTCAAGTAAAAAAATATTGAAACCAATAATTTTGTAGTCCAGCAACAACTGACGCATGTTGACGCATGCGCACAGAGGATGAATAAGAATGTATACCCTAAGGGCTATCGCACACAAATTGACATAACTGCATATGCATAGCATAAGATCGTATGGACCAATGAGCATCGAATATTAAGCATCGAACACCAATATGGCGACTTAATACTCGATGCTCATTGGTACATACGGTCTTATGCTATGCATACGCAGTTATGTCAATTTGTGTGCGATAGCCCTAATAGCACAGATGTCCAGAGGACATCCCGAGGACATCCTGAGGACATTCTTTGTCCTCAGGACGTCCTTAGGACGTCCTCAAGAGATCTTGTGCTGTCTGGATATCTTTATCTCTCGCACATATTTTAGACACATTTTAGTCTACAGAAGGCATACGCAATTCCCCCTCCATATATGTATGCTCTAAGGTTAACTTATTCCGGAACCGTAAAAAATTGACCAATTATAATTGATTATTCTTCTATAATTCGACTATGATTGGTTAATTTTTTACGGTTCCGGCATAAGTTAACGGATTACAGCCATTATAAACCAGCTTTTAGTCCCGATCTACAATAGGTGATTACATACCTTATGCTTTAAGAAATTGACCAATTACAATCAAATTTGAGGAGAATAATCGACTGTGACTGGTCAATTTCTTAAGATTTAAAGCTTACTACCTATTGTAGATCAGGACTTATGCAGGATTCACACCGCGTCCGATGTCCGACGTACGACGTCCGATATCCAATAGGAAAATAGTTTTCCAATGGAGAATTGAATTCTATATTAGAAAGCTGTTCTCCTATTGGATATCGGACGTCGTACATCAGATATCGGACGCGGTGTGAATCCTGCATTAGGCTGGCGTCCCATGGAACGGAAATTCTCATCGGAATGGAACGCGCGCATTAATTACAACCATTTTATTCTATTTGAAAAGAATAAAGTAACTGTGATTTATGCGCGCATTCCGTTCCGATGAGAATTTCTGTTCCATGGGACGCCGACTTTAGGCCGGTATTCATAGCTCCTGCATATAGGACGCGGTAACGCTTGCCGTGCGGCGGAAGTCCGCGCGATAGCCAATCAATATGTTGTTTTTCCGTAAGAGCTAGAAGGTTATTACGGAAAACAGCATATTGATTGGTCACGCGAACTTCCGCCGCGCGGCAAGCATTACCGCGTCCTGTGTGCAGGAGCCATCATAGTCGGATCTTTAAGATCATCTTAAGTTCATCTTGATGGTCTACGGGTGATTTCATTGGCTACAAAGCATCTGAAGATAAACTTTAGACGGCTTAAATATAAGATCCGACTATGAATACCGGCCTTAAAGCGGGAGCACACACTCTTCCATAAAGGCATAATACACAACGCATAAGAAAATTGACCAATTAGAGTTCTTCGTTTTCATCGTGACAATAGAAATGAGGACTCTGATTGGTTTATTTCCTTATGCGTCATTTATTGTCTTCATACAAGAGTGTGTGCTTCCCGCTTGAAGACTCTAGAAAATTTGCCACCATTTATGTTTCATTCTAATTTCATTCCCGCGTAGAAGGAGTGTCCGATTATTTCCTATACAATATATTATCGTTAGTTGCTAGTCTGTATTACAGGTACGTTTGGTTTCTTCTCGTCAACTGCTGCGAAATTTAAGTTTTGTTTTAAGGTTATGCATTATTTGTACATGTGCCGAACTAATTAAATAATATAATTATATTCTTATTATTTGTGTATGCGGGATTACTTCAGTAAGGTATGATGATAACCTGTTCAGCTAAAGGCTGTCCTTCTAGCCAAACAACCAAGATTGATGGAAGACCAATTTCATTTTATGCTTTCCCAGAAGATGATCTGTAAATATCTTCTGCACTCTAATAACTAATGTTTCAACTATCGTTTGATCTATCTATGCTAAATTTTAGCAGAAAAAATCAATGGCTTCACAATTGTAATCTGGCTTCTGGTGTTAATGACAAAGAACCCTTGCATCTTTGTGAACTGCACTTTGAAAGAATACATTTTACCACATCCAGAGATTTGAAGTCAAGTGCTGTTCCCACTTTATTTGGTAGAATAGAAGGTATACAAGTGTAGTCATAAGATTATATTTTTCTATAAAAAGTGTTTCATTACAAGTGTTTTGATACTTTATAATATACTATAAAACACTTTATGAGTATTGCTTAAGTGAGGTCAAACTTAAGCTTTAAGCCTGAAATCTTAAGAAATTGATCAATCATTGTCACTTATTTTCCTTATATTTGACTGTAATTGGTCAATATCTTACAGCTTCAGGCTTAAAACTTAAAGCTTAAATTTCATTATTTAAGTTTTTATTGTAGACTCTGTTTTAGAGACAATTGATAATATATTTTTGGAAATGATAATCATATCCATCTATTTTCATATATCACTTATCGAAATCAAAATAATCTATAATTTTCTTATTAAAAGTTTATAATTAATGATAATTTTATTATAAATTTATTATATTTATAGTAGATGTATGTATTATTAATTTATATCACATAACTATCTTAATATCTTTATTTTATTTCTTTATGGAGAATTTTCTAGATCATATATAAAATACTTGTACAAGGCGATCATTGTAGATAAAGTTCTATGAAATATAATAAGTTCATACTTATTAATAAATAATTTGTTATAAATTCATGATATATTTATATTTTTGTAGAGCCTGCAAGAAAACATAAGACAGAAAGTATGCTACAAATGAAAGTACCACCGTTAAAACAGAGAAAATTAGATACTACAGCGATGTCATCTGAAAATCTATCTACACAACGCATAAATAACGTAAATCTACTTTTTTAAATATATTAAAAACTTATGAACATTTGCATGTATTAAAACATTAGCAAATTACTCGTATATCTATGCTATCGTAATTTATATATATATATATATATATATATATATATAGTTATATTTTTTCCACGTTATTATGCAGACCGAAGATTCAGCTAATGGGAATAAAGCAGATGTATCAATTAATAATACGGCAGTTATGAACGGTTCTGCCACGTCAGCTACTGCAGGTGGGAATTGTGAGAAAAATAAGGAAGTATATCGTTTAACAATACAAATTGATAAAATACGAGGTAGACCAGGCCCACGGTGTAAAAAGTTAATACCTTTATTGATACACAATAGTGATATGAAAGACTTAATGGTGGGTGAACATGAAATTAAAAAGAAAACTCAGTCATTACAGAATGTGAAGAAAGTCTGTAAGCAAGGTAGCTGCAAAATAAGGAAATGTATATACAATTCAAAATTGGCATTTCAATGTGAGCTATGTAATAAATATTATATCACAAGGAAACAAGAGAGCCAAGATGACAAAGATAACTCTACATGTCACACTTTTCTTGGCTCACCATCATCAAATTTTTCCATCAAGAAACTTTTTATTTGCGACATATGTCAAACAGAGAGTAACACTCAGCTCATGTATGATAAGCATGTCAGATATCATGTTAGTACTGATCCTTCATATCCGTACAAATGCCACTTGTGTGCAAAAGTATTCGAATTGAAAGAAGATGTTAAACAACATTGTTTAAATGAGCATCCTAAATTAAAGACATTGAACACCTTACGTCAAATCACTTCGCCTATAAAAATAGCTGGTTCACAAAACAATTACCAATGTATCAGCTGTAATATTACTTTTAGTAATGAGCAAGCTTATAGGTAAGTTACTTTTCTTGAATCGTGTTATCACAATTGCAAAATATAAAATGAACATTAAATTATTATAAGATAATCTTAATCTTTAAGCGTATTTTCCGTAAGATTCGTAAGATAATGTTTTAAACATATTTGTATTGTAATATTAAAAATATTATAGGAATCATGTCAACTCGCATAAGAAGAAAGAGAGCTTGCGAGCTAAAATTAACGAGACCAAAGTATTTCCGGTGTCAAATCCTTTAAGTGGCAGTCAAATAGGTATCCTACAACCGGTAAAATTTAGCTGTAATGTGTGCTCCAAAGAATTCGATAATGTTGGGGAAGTTGGTATTCATACGAAGACACACTTGGAAGAAACTAAGGAGAAAGAGAGTCTCAAATGCAATATCTGTAAGAAATTGTGTAAGAACAACGCCGCATACAATGAGCATATGAAACAACACCTAGCGAATGCATACCCTTGTCCAACTTGCTCGAAGGCCTTTATTAATAAAACTACTTTAAAAATACATCAAAAGACACATGAAACATAAGTTACAATACTGTGTGTACACTCTATTATACTGTAGTTAAGTGCAAATATTATACTTCGTAACACTCATCACAAAATTAACAAATTACACAGTTGAATTTTAATAACGTATGTAGCCGACACAATCGATATTTTAACCAGATGTTTTTCTGCATAAATGTATGATATATATATATATATATATATATATATATATATATATATATATATTGCTTTAAAAAGTTATATATTACTTACATGTACGTAACACATGTTAACAGCAACTTTGCAAGGAATCGTAATTTGTATTTCTCAAATATAATTATGTTTGTGTGTTTTTCATATAATTCGTTCTTTTGATGTCTTATTCACGTTATTATGATGACGAAACATTTAGAAGGAATGCACTGATGCATAAAAATTTCTGTAAATATCAAATCTACATTTCATACAATACATGAATGTTACATTTACCTAATTACAATCATACATACAACATACATACATATATATATATATATTATATGATACATTTTATTATAAAGATGTTTTACAATGCGTTTTATGAACATTATGTATGTATCGATTTATTAGTTAAGAAATCTTCTTTTTTTTCTATCTTAATTGATATATTTGTAATACAATAGTTCTCACTCTCAATTATATTATAAAATAGTCCAAAAGGAACATACGACCACATGTGTAGTATTTCTTGCGATTTTTAATTTTAATTCTTAAAATATAAACTATCAATAAAGTTTTATTTCTTCCACGGAACTGGCAAAATTTGGCGTCTAGATTTAAGATATTAATCGGTTATTCTTTTGCGACATATCTCGTATGACTACTACGCGCGTTATTCAAGAATAGAAGTAGCGCTTTTGTGATATAATGGAGTTCATCATATGTTGTCGGTATTTGGAAGTAATATTCAATTATGTAACGGGCTATATTCATTGGAGAAACGATTATTCAAGGTAGACAATTAGACTTGTGTATCTTTGGCAAACCGTATGATCCGGGTATAATGGAGTCATTGAAACAAATTGATCAAAACACATTATAATATCAATCTTCTGCCATAAAAAACAATAATGCGCAATTGACGAGGAAAAATTCCGTGATCAATCTCCGCGGGGAGGCGTTACGACCGGAGTGAATGAACCGACGATGATAATAGATCTTCTTTGAGACGCCGCGGCGTACTCTCTCTCTCTCTCTTTCTTTCTCTTCGCGTGAAAACGCGCAAAATGCGATCCTGATTTTCCACAAGGAGAAGAATGTCCAGAAGTCACCGACACAAACGGCGGGAGCACCTGGGAGAAGGGGAACCGCCCCTGGTGTTCAAAAAGTGCCGACGACGGGCGACCCATGGCGGAACAATCGCGCCGATGTTCACGAATCGCCTTGTCAACGGGGACCACTTCAAACGTAGCCCGCCTCAATGTGTTTATTTGGCCAATGTCAAATTTACTTGTGAAAAAGAGAGAGGAGGGGATGAGGGAGCGAGAGAAGGAAAATCGACACGCCGCCGCGGGAACGGACACTTCACCACCGTCCTGTTTTATTTCTTTTCTTTTTTATTCTTTTTCTTCTTTTTCTCTTTGCGGTATCCGTGACACAAATCCGATCGTTTTGTGTCGCGGTAGCGGATCGTCGCGCCGACTAAAGGCGTGGCTCGTGTAAGTCCGTTGTAAAGCTCTTGACACACTCGTTCGAGCTTCAAAGTCGAGCACGGGCTCAATTCATGAGCCGACTGCCACTGACTGCTGCAACCGGTGGATAACGCGGTTATAAGAGGATCACGAACTTCCTCTTACGCGTTAACATGAGCAACCTGATAAATCGAACTTGAAAATCTAACTTCAGTGTGATCTCTCTCTTTCTCAAACGAGGATAAAAGAGATTTCAATTCTTGTCTCAAAGAATTTTGCCGTTGCACTAAAAAAAGAATTTTGTTGTCGAAACAGAAGTTTAGTATACTGGACCAAGAGGTGCAATATAAGTAGGTTATAAAAAAAGTATGTAATAAAGTAAAATTGAAAGCGCGGTTATATAGATAAGGATAGAAGATTAAAACTCGATTTCACCAACGTTGATTGAGCCTTGATCTGAATTTAAATCTTTGTTTCAAATAATTTAAACGCTTGATGGTTTAAGGCTTGATCGACGTTGGTGAAATCAGATCTAAGTGTTAAAGTAAAAAGGTAAAGATTAAAAAGATAAAAGTTAAAGATGTAAGGATATAAAAACTAAGGCAAAGATGTAGGTTAAGATAATAATTAGAATAAGAGGTAATATAAGGGTAACTGTGTAAGGAGCAGGTGTGCGGATGAGTGAGTGAGGTAGAAAAATTGTAAGCCAAGTCCCTTCCTGGCAATGTAAGCTGAAATAAATATACCAGATATATAAGTAGTATACCGGGCCCCCCATAACTTTTAAAATAGTCCTTCATGGTTAATCCTTAATGGCTTATGTGAAAAACGATATTACATATGGTCTTACATAAGTCCGGCTCTTTTATTATATATTTAAAGTGTTTCGAAAATCGAAAAATCTGTAAAAATTCACAGATATACTTTCAAGTTTCTAAAACAAATACTTGTACTTCATTATTTCAGGAGGGGCAAAAAATCTGGGACCTTTCAACGTGCTGAGAAATTTCTATGAATAAAAATCGTCTGGGCTCGAAATACCCATGTAAAGCCACTAAAGGTTAAAATGGGATCAACCAAAAGATCTAATTGCCGTTATGTGTCTTACTGTCTCAATGATACATTCACTTAACAAAAATAAAAATATAGTAGTGCCAAACAAATCGTATGTGTGTACCAAATATGTTTCAGTTCCAAATATAACAATCATTTCTTCAGCATGATCATGCCTATTTCGAGTTTACAAAAAATTTACAAAGAGTTCTAAGTCGATGTTTTCAAACCTCGACAACACCTCGTGTTAAATTAGCGACCAAGGTAAGAAATATATAATCGGCATTCGATTGTATATTTCTTACACTGTATATAGAATTTGTTCGAAATATTCTATATGTATGTTCATATAAGAATGTAATATAAGAAAAGCATAACAGAGTAAAATTTGTTTATCCGAACGAGACTATAGACGCAATTCAGGTCGAACTTCACTTTGTAAATTTATTCAATCTTAAAAGTTTAAATTCTGTCTTAGCGTGTAGTACAACTAGCCACTCGCGTGTCTACTTCGTGACAACGAATCACGGCGACGATAACAGTGCAAAACACGAAAAGACGTTTATACTTGATACTTTATACTTGATACGTGAACGATTTAACGCGAAAACATTTTTAAAATATTTTTACATTACCTTGGTAGACAACATCCGTAATTTTGTTTAACAGTTCTGTTTAACACAGTTGCGATTCAATTCGAACTGTACTGAACTCTGTAACATTAACACGAAAAATGGTAAATGACAACTTGAAGATCTATTAAACCTCAGTGTATTACAGAATATATGCGTGAAAAGGTATTTAGCAATGCACTGTTACGTTTGGAGAGAGTAACGGTAGTCGAGGCGACAGGTATCGTTGGAAAAGCCCGAAGGAGAGAGGATTTCACAAATTCGCCACGGGCTGCTAAACGCTAAACGATGCGCGCGTATTGCGTACACGCAGGCCACTCATAGGATTAAGGGTGGCGGAGGGTCGTTGTGTGACGAATCCGGCAATTTGCCGTGAACGTCCTGGGGATAGGTCTTGAACGAAAATAACCCGCAAAACGCGTGTCTCAATCGGTTTCCATTTAGCACATCTTAATACAGTCTCGCAGGTATCGCCTACGTTCTGTCTATCGATTGTGTCGCAATTTGTGTGCTGAGGTAAGAATCAGATGTTCAGAGGAGTATGCGCTTTTTCAAACATTTCATGTTGTGTTAAATTCACAACCCTCATCTGGTAGCTGAATTGTAACAAAGCAGACATGACGTATTACGTTGTAAAAATAATTGTACCGACGGGAAATGTTACTTTGCAAAAAAAATTAGCTTTTTGATTATCATTTGATTATATTACTGAATTATTATTAAATTTCACACTCGTCTGCAACTTGTGCGACAATTCTGAGACTTAGTTCTTCTTATCTAATATTTTTTCTTTCAGTGTGCATTAATTAATCAAGTATTAGGAAAATTATAGATTATAAGTAGCTCTGGACGTCGTGGATAAATATTAGAAGTCTTGAATAAATTTGCTGGAACATTAGCAAAGATGATGTTCTCTCGAGACACCTGCGGAAAATTCCGAAAAGAGATATCCCGCGGCTAAATTTGTACACGTGTACAGTACTTTTGGTGCGACGAAAGGGTTGCTCGACTACAAAGCCGGTGAATGTGCTAATTCACAGTCGTGTCAGAGCCGAGTGACCGACATTCACCGTCGGGGACGCATTCTCGTTTCAGCATGGACATTCTCTATTTATTCGTTCGTCGGAAAATGTCCACTAGTCCTGGCGGTGCAATAGACGCAGCTGTTGACCGGCATCGATGACATGCGCATCATTTTGTAGAAGCGAATAAAAAGATCGCAATTCCAGCGTTATCGGTTTTAACATAACAGCGTCGTAACGTAAGCAACATTAAGCAGATGTTGAATACTGATATAATATAGCTTCGCAATTGCACTGTTTTTCTATTTGATACATAGAATTTTTATTTGGCTACATAGAATTGCAAATTTTTAGAAAGTGAAAGTATCCTTTAGTGACCTTACATGTTCTTTTAAAATGAATCAGTCAAACATCACTGAAAACAGTGAATATACACTGATTAGCTGTTATAAATATAGCACTGAAAGTATCCAGTACCCTATACTTATAACCAAGGTTAGGTAGTAACTAAAAAGCCACATATTGCATAACAAACAAAAGAAATTTCTTTTATTTACAAAATTTACAAAATGTCTTTTCACTTATTGACATTTTTAACCTTTAGTGGCCATATATTGCATAACAAAAGAAATTTCTTTTATCTACAAAATTTACAAAATGTCTTTTCACTTATTGACATTTTTAACCTTTAGTGGCCATATATTGCATAACAAAAGAAATTTCTTTTATCTACAAAATTTACAAAATGTCTTTTCACTTATTGACATTTTTAACCTTTAGTGGCCATATATTGCATAACAAAAGAAATTTCTTTTATCTACAAAATTTACAAAATGTCTTTTCACTTATTGACATTTTTAACCTTTAGTGGCCATATATTGCATAACAAAAGAAATTTCTTTTATCTACAAAATTTACAAAATGTCTTTTCACTTATTGACATTTTTAACCTTTAGTGGCCATATATTGCATAACAAAAGAAATTTCTTTTATCTACAAAATTTACAAAATGTCTTTTCACTTATTGACATTTTTAACCTTTAGTGGCCATATATTGCATAACAAAAGAAATTTCTTTTATCTACAAAATTTACAAAATGTCTTTTCACTTATTGACATTTTTAACCTTTAGTGGCCATATATCGCATAACAAAAGAAATTTCTTTTATCTACAAAATTTATGGCTTTTCACTCATTTACACTTTTACCCTTAGTAGCTTATGTGAAAAAAAGGTGGCTCTTTCAATTCCGATCCTTTTATTATATCTTTAAAGCGGCTCGAAAAAGTAATAAGTTAAAAGTTAAAAGTTAAAAGTTAAGTTAAA